CCCCCCCGGGCGGTGGCCCGCCGAAGCACGGCACGGGAATGCCGGCAAGATGATATAAAAACTCCGTCTCGGTCTTCATAGTGCGGAGGGGCTCCGACCTCCATAGTGCGGAGGGGCTCGCGACCTCCAGCCCGGATGGCCCGGAGTACATCCAATTGTGCATACTCTGTCGGCGTAGGCCATGGGAACGGCGGGCACTGTACTGGTAGCTCCGGTGGCATTGCTTTGCCGGCGCGCACAACATTGCACAATAGCCACACCATAACCATTAGAACAATTCCTGCACATACTCCCGTCCCGGCTCCTACCAAGAGCCACCCGTAGCTGACCTCCATCGGCCCGAAACCTGGGGTCATATAGTAAATGGGATCCTCTCCTGCGCAGATTGCTGTGGCATGCACAGTTGCTAATTTGCACTCCCGCGGGAGCGTGGCCAGGAGGGCAATGGAGGACCTGGCTGCCCTGGTTGCTGTCCACGAGCCCCAGTCCCAGACAACAGACCCAATGGCCCGCCAATCGACGGCAGCCAAAATTCCGGGGCAGCAATTGTCCGGCCCGTTGCTGTTGTGACGCGCTATCATCGTCATCGCAAATATTCCCATTCATGTGGCCCTCCACCCGCACCAGCCAGGAACCATCCGTATGACTTCCCGATCGGCAGGGAAATGGGGGTAGCGTAGTACGCTGGCTCCTCTTTTGAACTGGGGCCGACCGATCGGAAAATTCGGGTTTTTAAATTTGCGTCCTGGTTTCGTTGGATTTGTGGCGAACCAGCCCGAAACACATTGCCATTTTAATATTTCCGTCGCATTTCTGTTCATTATATATATATATATATAGATACAAAGGTTTTCACACCCGAAGCAAAGAAGACCCTGCAGCCGCGTCGTCCCGAATGGAGATCGGCGATCCCTTGTCTTTCCGGCCTTTCATTGAACTCCACCACTGATGCGAGGCACCGCGCTCTTGGAGCTCCAGTAATTCGGCCAGTGTGGTGTTCGCCATTGTCAGCGCTATTGCCTGTAAGACTGGAACCACATGTACCCATGACATCCAATGAGAATGGCGCTGACCGCGCAATGAAGACCAACCAACCAGCCAGGAACAGGGTATCAACGTCTCTTGCGTCCACGTCCCCTGCGAAAGCCCTCGCGCCGATAACGTCGCAACATGTGCCCCACATTGCCTTTGTCCTGAGCGTGTGCGTGCGTGCTCGTCCGTTCTGGCGTAGGATTCGGATCGTGTGATTGGGCTGCGAGGCCGCGGACCATGAAACCATGACCCACGCGCATTGGAGGTCGTCGGAGATCTCTTGCAAAAACCGTTGTTCTTCTTCCATTGGCTGTGCCGGGTGTGATGTGACGAACTCGGCGATCCCCAACGGTGTCCCGAACACGGCAATAACGTCGCCTCTGGCGCATTGTCGGCCGTCCCCACATCGGGTCCCACGGTTGCCAGCTCCTCTGGAGCGCCGCCGCCGCCCCGGGTCCACGGTCGCAAGTTCTCCATACGTGGGGCCGAACCCCAGCATGTCGATCGACTTCGGCCGCAACTTCTTGAAGGCGGCCGCCGCTCGAACTGTTTAGCGCAATGGTGAACAAGAAGCCTTCGAGGAAACTGACGACGCTTGCGGAAGGAGATCAGCTCCCATCAGCCGTCGTCAGCCGTCGCCAAAGCATCACGTTGTGCAAAGTTCAGTGGGAGGCCAGCGTGCGCGGGTTGCCTTTGCACCTTTGCACTGTATGGGCGTTGCAGCTGACGTCTGTTCCAAACCGCGCAGCATGCAGGCAAGCGTGACAGACGCCTCGAGGCTCTGATCGAAGTGGAGTTTGCTCCCAAGTGGCGCCCGTTTCGCCAGGACGGACGCCCCGATCCCGCCCATGGGTAAGACAAACTTTGTCGTCATCGGCGTCCATTTCAATAAAGAATGAGACGCGCCCAAACTTCGGTGCCGGCTTTGCTTCCTGTGCAAACTAATACGGTGCGGTTGTTTAGTTCAAAGAACAAGCAACAAAAACTTGTCGTTCAACTGTCCAGCCACCCTCGTGCACACCAAACGACGTAGAGGTGTCCCTGCCGCAAAGCCACGCACCTGGCCAAACCATGTTTGAAGAACCGTCATATGTCCGAAACGGAACGCCGCTGCGACATCAGATGGCACGTCAACTCTTGCAAATGCTGCCGCCACCGTCTGCAGTATCCCCAGAAACCGTCACTTTCCAACCATACCCGCACGTCTTCGTAGCGCATTCCCGCCAAATCGGAGGTGGGATTGCTCGGTTGTGATGGGATTCTGGGGGCGTGGTGTTAAGACGTCGAAAGGTATGTTTTCAATGAGGGACAGGGGGTGGGAGAGAAGGATTCCGACGCTTGTCGAGCGTAGCTAGACAGCCTGGGGCAAGCCCGTTGGACGTGAGAAGATCTCGCATTCGAGGACTGGGGCATTCCAGACAGTCCAGGGGCTAGGCTACCAGATCTGCTCGTTAGGGGCCCGGGAGCCTCATCCTCGCAAGTTGGAGTCGTGGCTTGGCCACCCTCCTTCTCCTCGTCCTCGTCCTCCTCTTCTTTCTCCTCCTCTCCCTACCTTTCCTTATCCTCCTCCTCCTCCTCCTCTTCTTCTTCGTCTTCAAGGAAACGTGCGGCCCTCAACGTAGTGCAAAACTTTGGCTACACTCCTGGGCCAGGCCAACTATGTGTGTATGCTGGTGCGGTGCTGCTTCAAGTTTCCAAGCGTCCGCAGCGCATGTGCACCATTTTATATTCGCAAGCGCATAGATTCTAGATCCCGTGTGCGCCGTCCGATCTACGTCGAGGCACGGCCGCATTCAGGTTGAAAGTGTGCCTTCGGCAGCAGGACAATCGACCAACACCCTTGAAACTGTGCCTTGCCAGAAGTCGGATGATGCGGAGGAAGGCGGGGGAGGGGAAGGGAGAGAAAGACAAAAAACATGAGGAGGAAGAGGCGGAGGAGGAGGATGAGCAGATAGCGATTAATAAGCTGAAGCTGAAGGTGAAGACGATGAGGCTGCTGCTGCTGCTGCTGATGGCGATGGCGATGACGATGACGATGACGATGATGATGATGATGATGATGATGATGATGATGATGATGATGATGGTGGTGGTGGTGGTGGTGATGATGATGATGATGCTGATGCTGACGCTGATGCTGATGATGAAGACGACGAAGGTGGTGAGGTGAGGATGATACGGAGGCGGCGGATATTGAGGATGGGAAGGGTGGGACAAAAAAGAGCGGGAGGCCGACGAGCGGCGGAAGATGGGCAGCGGAAGAGCAAGGCAGAGGAGGGGCGCCAGACATATATACCTCCTGGAGCCATGCTGGAAGCCCCCGTTCGGGGGCGCGGGCTGGCGGGGGACGGGCGCCGTGGGGCGCCCCCCAGGAGGCCGCACACAGTGCGATTACTGCGCGGGCCTGTCAGAATCGTGCTCTGAGCTTCAAGCGGGCGTCTTCAGAAACAGGCCACGAAAAAAAGCTACCGCTGGAGGACAACCTCTGCAGACATCCTTCGTCTTATCGTGGGCTTCGGAAGTCTGATTCGGGGCTGATCGGCCCCGCATCAGCTGTCCAACACGACACAAGTAACACGTCATACAAGCAACTAGCGGTTGACTGGCGAATAATGTATGGATGGCTTGATGACCCTGCTCCTGTCCAAGATCTCGATCCGCGAGGCCTGGGGGCACCCCTGGCATCCAGCGGCAACAACGGCGCGGCAAGCGATTGAGGGGACGGCTTCCGTTACTGCGATGCGCAGGTTATTTTGCTAAGCGGAATGTTGAAGTCGGGCCCTTCGGCCGCCTGACAAAAACATTCCAACGAAGAAGTCCGAGAGCTTTACCCTCCACCGATTCCAGGGCTGTCAAACTTCTGAATGTCGGCGTCCTCGGGCAGCGGCGTGCAGCGGGCGGGTCGCGGAAGCGAAGAGCGGGCAAAGAGAGCACGGACAAGCGTCGCGTCCCCATCCTCCTCCCTGCTCCTCCCTTGCCTCCTTCCCCTCCTCCTCCTCCTCCGTCCTCCTCCCCGTCCTCCTACCACTCCGCCTCCTTCTCCTGCTGCACACCCGTCATTATTACGCTCTTCCTCCTCTTCCTCCTCCTCGCTCCCTTTCTCTTCCTCCGCTCCTCCCCTATCCCTCCTGCAACCCCCATCCCCATCATCATACCTTCCTCCGCATCTTCATACTCTTCCCTCATTCTCCTCGCCCTCGTCGTCCTCCTCCTCCTCCTCCTCCTCCTCCTCCTCCTCCTCCTCTTCCCTCATCTCTCCTGCTGTTCCTGCTGCCGCCCATCTCCCCCTCATCTTCGTCCGTCATCCCTTCCTCCCGGGAGCAGGAAGTGCGACGACTTGGAACAAGATGCAGGAAGAGAACGCGCGATAAGACCGTGTGACAATCGCGACGACGGCGACGATAGCGGTCGGCGACGGACGAGGCCAAGGATGAGGACAACGCCCACGGACGACGAAAGATGCCGACGGAAGACGAGGGACACCGAGGGACGATGGCGATGGCGACGACGACGCCGACGGACTACGATGGACGCCGACGAACGACGAGGGACAACGAGGGACGACGACGACGATGGATGACGACGAACGACCGCGACGGTCAACAACGACGTCCTCCACTGCGGCGGCGGCTGGCGCCGCGCGCCCCCGGGCGCCCCGCAAAGGGGTCAGCGCCGTGAGCCCGCCACCACGGCCTGCCAGTCGACGACGGGTGCCGGCGTCGACGACGACAATCGACGGCGCCGGCGTCGACGACGAAGGTCGACGGCTGACTGCGACGATGACGGCGGTCGTCGGAGGCGGCGGCGACGAGGACGGGGACGGCGAGGACGCTGACGACGATGACTACGACGGACGATGACTACGACGGAGCAGGAGCAGCCGACGCACGACGCCGACGCCGCCAACGACGGCGACGGAGATGATGGACGACGCCGACGACGCCGATGCCGATCAGGACGGCGACGGCGACAACGACGTCGTTAGATGAGTCGCCAGCGAGGACGACGGACGGCGGTCGACGACGGGAATCCACCGGAACGGCCTGCCGGATGATCTGTGTGTCCGTCGTGCGGTTGTTGAGCCCCGTGTCCGTTCGGCGGAGGTTACCCGAGGCGGTCTCCTCGGGTGGGGGTATCGAGCCTCCTCCTCCTCCTCCTCCTCCTCCTCCTCCTCCTTTCGTGCCTCCCAGGGCGCCGTGGTCGCCACGGCTGGACTCACGTCACAATTCTGGCCAGACCGCCCCTGCGCAGGGGGTTTGAAGATCGAGGTTCGAGGATTTTGGGATGTCTTTTCGCTTCCTTGGGGGGCTCTCTCGTCGCACGCTTTGGCCTCGTAGGATGCCTCTTCGTCAACGGCTGAACACACTCCTGGAAGGGTCTGGGGGGGGGGGGGCGATTCTGGACCCCAAGACAAAGAGATCTGCCGACTCGAACAAATCTTACCAAACGATTTTTCCCAACAATCGGCACCCGAAAACCGTTCTGTTCTCGAGGCCGTAAAACACATCAAAATGAACTGACGCTTGCGGCCCGCGTCACGAAACAAGTGCGACTCCTGATGTTAAGGAATGAGGAGGGGTGTGGGGGGAGGTAGGTCACCCACCCTCATTGTCATTCTCCCTCCTTCTCCCCCCTGCTCCTGTCTTCACCATCTTTCTCCTCCTCCTCCGCCCCTCTTCACCATAACCTGCCATTCAATTTGGATTGGGTCGGAACTTTCGTTTTTCTCAAAAGCGCAGGGGGCTTTTTTTCCGTTCTCAACCCTTTCCACTTTTCAATATGGACCTGCCCAACACGTTTCAAAAAACGACGCCCTGGAATGTGGACGCCAGAAGAGCGCCATTGTGACACCGAGAATCCTACCAGAACATGATGAAAACGGACGTAAACGAGCAAGTGGGCCACGGGTTGATCCTGGACCTGAAAACGTAGCCAACACTGCGCCCAGAACCGAAAGAACACGTCGACCTTGAAAACTACAGTAAGCGCCCCCCCCGCGTTTTGAAGACCATCTAAGATGTGGCGGCGAGCGTTTTTTTTGTTGGGGGGGGGGCTTTCTTGTGCTATACATGTGTATATATATATATATCATCGATGAATGCTGTACCCTTCGTCACTTCGTGCAAGTATTGGGTCCCATCTCGGCGGGCAAGCTGCGGCCACAGGCAGAGCAGTGGAGATGGACTGAAGATTTCCGCGTCCACCCAACCATCGCCATAATATTTACCTTGGCCCACACGGTGGTACTTGAAAAGGGGAGCAAAGGAGGAGGAAAACGAGGAATGGGCAGCGTGGGCGCCCGAAAGCCTGCACGCACACTAACAAATTGAACTACAGCGGCGGCCCATACAAGGGGCAGCATAGAAAGGTTATCCGTGTTGAAGTCAGCGGGTGAAGGAATCTTTCCCCAATCCCCATCACGCAGGAGAGAAGCCAGAAGAGGGGGAGGAAGAAAGAGAGAGCGACACAAAGAGACTTCGAACAGCGAGGCCCAGCGTAACTAAAATGACGCGCCCGGCAGGCCCGCGAGCACGGATGTGCGAGGCACGCGCCAGAATCAAGATGAGATAAGGCGGCCATGGAGAAGCCGAGCCCCGCCGATGACACGATGCAAGCCTGAGGCGGACCAAACAGTGCGGCCCACAGGGTCGGGCAGTGCTCGGCGAGGAAGCGGCCTCGGCCCGCGTGCAAGCAATGCCACCGCACCAATTGGGGGATGAGAGCGAGGAGGGGAGAAGAGAGGAGGGAGAGGAAGAGGAGGGAAAATGGAACACTCACTGGATGTCGACGTCGTGAGGCGGAAATCCGTCGCGCAGAAGTGGCCCAGCGAGCTGAGCACCACCGTGCTGATGGTGACCAGGTGTTGTCCTGAGGCTGTCCAGGCCGCAGTGGCTGCAGCTGCTGGGGCGGGGCTGAACGAGTGACGTTGCACGAAATACTCGTCGTGCTGCTCGCGGTGTCCGCCATGCTGCCCCTGGTACTCGACGCGCTGCTCGAAAATACTCGTCGTGCAGTGCTCATGGTATCCTTCGCGCTGCTCAATGTCAGCGTCGTGATGCTCATGATAACTGGCGTGCTGTTTAGACTGCCCGTCGCACTGGTGATGGTATTCGCCTTGCTGTTCGTGACACCTGTCGAACAACCTATGGTATCCGGCGTGTGTTGCTCGTGGTGCCCGCCGTGCTGCTCACGGCGTGCGCTTCGACGAAAGACGGCGAGCGTTACGACAAAGCGAAGGTGGAAACCGTGACACGTCCAAGCGGGCGTCGTCCGGGGACAGCGCAGCGCCTGCGGCGCTCTGGGGGCGCCGCCAGGCCAGCTGAGTGCTCATCGCGGCAGGCCGGGCGGCAGGCCGGGCGGCCGGGCGAGCGCGGGGGGGAAGTGACAAGGGGCGGGCCTTCTCAGAGGGCTCGGAAGTCCCTCGGCCTTCTGAGCAGTTTTCTAAGCCTTCCCCGCAGACGCAGAGAACTTCTCAGAAGGCGCGAGGGCTTCTGAGAAACCCCGCCGCCTCCTGAGACGGCATTCTCCTTCTCACTTCCCCCCCCTCGCTCGCCGCCGAAAGATCGGACCCAGCCGGAGACACTTTCCACGTCAGCAGGTGCCGCGAGGAGCACGCGAGCACACTCTCCTAGGGCAGCTGCCGCTCTGCGGGCCACGCCCGCGCGAGGCACGGGCACCATCTCTGCCAGGTAATGCGATGTGGGCCGACCCGCGCGAGCTGAACGGGCAGCGTCGTCGTCGTCGTCGTCGCCATCGTCGTCGCCGTACTCGTCGTCGCTGTCGTCGTCGTCGTCGTCATCGTCGTCGTCGTCCCCATTCGGGGTCGGCGACACCGGCCGTGAGCCCTTCGCAATACAATGCGGGCCGACCCGCGCGCGCTGAACGGGCAGCAGCCTAACCAAACATCACAATGCGGTCCACGCGCGCGCGGTACATCATCATCAACGCAATGGTCGAGATGCGCGCGTGACCTCATGAATTTGGACGGCCTTGTGAATGGACTGGCTAAAACACTTGTCACATGCATGCGTAGGGCGACGGATCCGCGCCTGGGAGAAGATACGACAAGAGCAAGGGATAGCTACTTATAGGCAGTATGATCAGGGCCAGGGGCGGGGGGATGTGATCGCCTTCAACAACCATGTAGACCTGCACCTTGACCCTTACCTTCATGCTCTACACTACTCGCGCCAACTGCAAGGCGTGGAGCCGCGCTCATCCGTATACGCCCACTCCAGCTCTTCCTCCCTCAAGCCTTCCTTCCTCCCTACTTAATTCATCCCGCTGCCTTGGAATCAACTCCTCTTCCTCGTCGTATCAACGAACGTGTCGGGCGGGCTGGACGTTTCGCCCGATGCGCGCCCTAAAAGCGCATGTTTATGGAGGTTACGTGTTCGCGTTCTCCGGGGATGACGATGCGAGGCCCGCTTTCAAAATGTGGCTGACACCTGAGCGCCGCGCATTCTCGTTTTTTGTTGGTTGCAAAAATCACCAGTCACAGGCCCTGATGGACAACATGTAGTTTCGAAGATAGGCTCTCGCCTTGGCTCCGCGCACATGCATCCAAACATCGGGCAACACTTACACGGGTGAGGGCGACTCGGTGTGAATACTTGCTTCGTGGTTGACATTTCCTCATCTGGATTTTTCTGGGTGTCAAGGATGCGCCACAACACTGCGGATGGACGTCGCTCCTTATCAACATTGTGAGTTCGTCTGACATGCACAGACCTTCTGAATCCGACACTGAAAGGTGGAATGCGCCCGTAAGTCAGCATTGATTATTATTGCTTGCACTTTTCTGAACTTTCTTGCACGTTCGTTCATGTGGGCTTGCTGGAAACCATGTTTTCTCACAACGGGGGTTGCGCATAATTGGCAAGCCATTGGGACACCCGTCTTTCAAACGGGAGCCTCCCGTATCGAACAATAGCTAACAAGGACTTACGAGGAGGCTTGAGACGGGAGGGTGTACTGTGGGGATACTTGTCCACCTCCTCTTCCTCCTCTGGCTCATCCCGTGCACAGGGGGATGAGGGGAAGAGAGTGGGATTGGAGCAGGAGGGAACATGACGAGGAGTACTAGGGGGAGGCTCAGGAAAGGGGAAGGGGGCTGAAGGTCCAGAAGCCACACCTCAATCCCGCTCTGTCCTGCCAAAGCCTCGCCATCAGCTCACGCCAGAGCTCGCTCGAGCCGCAACTCGCGACGCATCACCGCTTTTCCTCATCCTCGCCCTCCTCTTCGTCCACATCCTCGTCCTCCTTCCTGTGCTCCTCTCTCGCTCCAATCTCCTCCTCTTCCCTTCCCCCCTCTGGCCCTGTCACGCCTTCCCCAGATAGGCTTGGCCGGAAGGCTTCTTGCCTGCTTCTGAAGCCCTGGTGGGTGCTCGGCCTTCTCCAGCCGGCCTTCCTCGGGTTCCTTGGTTTCTTGGTCTTGGCTCCTTGCTGCCTTGCTCTGGTTCCTTGGTCTTAGTTCCCTGCTTCCTTGGTTTCTTGCTGCGCTGCTCGGGTGAATTGGTCTTGGATCCTTGCTGCGCTTCTCGGGCTCCTTGGCATTCGTTCCCTGGTTCGTGTTGGTTCCTTGCTGCGTCGTTGCTCGGGGTCCTTGCTGCCTTCCCTGTCCCTGGGTTCCTTGGTGATGGTGCCTGCCTTGCAACGTCCAGCAAAGCAAAGGAGTTGCCTGGGTTCGTTGCACGGCCCTGCCCGTGGTTACTTGGTCTTGTTTCCAGCAAACGTGTAAACTCACATGTGACACGCGGAGGTCTCATTACCCAGCCTACACGCAGGCTTCCCAGTTGCACAAGTTGCGGGGGTGCCTAAGCGAAGCGCTTATGCAATGGAAAGCCTTCCAAGACTTGAGAGCGCGTCAGATTCAGTATCAACTGCTTCTCCTCGCCGCGCCATCAGGAGAGTTAGTAAGGCGGGCGAGGCGCTTCTCATCAGACTTCGGTACAACTTGTGATCGTGCAGATCCAGGCGTCCAACAAGTAGACGAATGAATGGCAGGTCGTTTCCAGCAGATGGTTCCCGTCAGAGCGCTGCGTATGTTCGCATTATACGTTTCCAGCTGTTCCACGGATGATTGGCGGGTGGTACTAAAAATGTGGTCCTTGCCACAAGAAGCCGCACACATTCGAATTGAAGACGCCCAATGCCCACATGGATGGGACACAAGCAGTTTTTGTAATGTAGTGGTCGCCGTGTCGCTGCACACATTCGTCGTACAATTTTCCACTTGCACCCATGGGGAGGGAAAGCGCACCTTTGTCAACACGGGACGTTGGCCTTAATGCAACGTGCATTATGCTTAAGATGTTCAAGCGGATACGCGAATGGAGGCCAACCCTATCAACGCGGATACGCGAATGGAGGCCAACTCTATCAACAGATGAGACTCCCGCCTATCATGTCTGCAGGTTTGGCGACCCGGGTCTGGTTGGTGGATGACGCGCGGAAACATGTCAAAGTGGGACTCGGTTGAAGACCGCTTGGTACATACATTACGCTGGTAGTGCATGCTTCTTCTCAATGCGGCGCTCTAACAAGTCATGCACCTGACTTGTATGGTGCGACTGCAAATTTGTTGACACTCCTGCTTTTACGAAGATCGTACATGGCGGTCCCTTGTCAATCCAAGGTTTAAGCCTTTACAGGAAACTCGTTTTTCATAAGGGCGTTCCCAGCACAGAAAATCACGTCTTGCAGGGATTTTGGAAAGGGCTTGCGACGGGAGGGTGTGTTGCAGCGTCGTTGATGCTCCTTTCGTCTCCTCTTCTTCTTCTTCTTCCTCCTCCTCCTCCTCCTCCTCTTCCTCCTCCCATCCTCTTCCTTGTTCACCCACCCCCTACATTCCCCGTTCCCCCTACTCCTCTCCTGTCCTCTCCGTCCCCCTCCCAGGGCTCCCTGCTCTCCTTCGTGCTGCTGAGCTGCATCAGCGTCTGCTCGGCCCGAGCGATGCGTGCCTGGGAGGGGGCCCCAGCCTCTCCCACCCCGAGGGAAATAGGGATGAAGAGGCAGACAAGGGTGCGAAAGCAAGGGAAGGGGGCTAAAAAACAGGGGGGCTGAAGAGGGCAGCGGAGCTGGGGGGGGGATGAGGAGGCGGATGGCTGGGGGCGGATGGGGAGGGCGATGCATGAGTTCATCTTCCCCTCCCTTGTTCTTCTCTCTCACTCTCCCTCTCTCTCTCTCTTTTTCTATATCTCTCTCTCTTTACGTGCTCTCTCTCTGTCTCATCTCTCCCTCTTTCTATATATATATATACACACATACGTGTGTGTGTGTCAATGGTTACGCATTTGTTATTCGTGTTATCCCTCTCTATCTATCGCTCTGTCTCTCTCTCTTTCTCTCTTTCTCTTTCATTCTCTCTCTCTCTCGTATATCTCTTTCATATCTCTCTCTCTCTATCTCTTCCTTGTTTCCTCTCTCTCTCTCTCTGTATCTATCCCCTCCTCCTAAGTTCTCTGTCACTGTGCCTCTCTCTTCCCACCTCACCCTACCTCCTCCTAATCCTCCTCCCCCGGAGACCCTCTTCCCCCGCAGACCCATCTTTTCCCCTACTCGTCATTCTGCCACTCTCCCTTCCCCCCTCCCTGCTCCTCCGCCCCATCGGTACCATCCTCCTGTTCATCATCTATCCTCCCCTCTTCCTCCCTCACGCATCCCTCCTCCTCCTCCTCCTCCTCCTCCTCCTCCTTGTCTCTCCTCCTCCTCCTCTTCCTCATTGTCTCTACCATTCCTCCTCCCTACTCCTCCTCCTCCTCCTTCCCTTCTCTTCTTCCTGACAGTCCTTTTCCTCGTCGCTGATACCTCCCTCGCCCCGGCGGTCGGGGGGGGGGTCTGCACCCGGTCGACGCCGCAGCTCCTGGCCGCAACCATGGCGGCCTCCAGCTCGGCGGGATCCTGCGGCGGTTGAGGTCCATCCTTCCCGTCCAGGACGGGGAGGAGGGAGGACGAGGGAGGAGGAGGTTGAGGAGGGGGGGAGAGGGGAGGAGGAATGATGAGGAGGGATGATGAGAGTATGAGGAAGAAGAGATGGAGGAGGAGGAGAAGGAGGAGGAGGAGGAGGAGGAGGAGGAGAAGGGGGAGGAGGAGGAGGAGGAGGAGGAGGAGGAGGAGGAGGAGGAGGAGGAGGAGGACGAGGAGACCATTCATATCCATCCTATCATCATTCTTCTTCCTGCTCCTCCTGCTCCTCTTCCCACCATGCGAACAGGGCAGGAAGGGTGAGGGAGATGAGAGGGAGGGAAACGGGAGGAAGGAGACTCCTTTTTCTTCCTCCTCCTCCTCGTCCCTTCTCCTTCTGGCAAGCCTTGCCTTCCCTCGAGGATGGAGGGAGTTGATCGGATGCTGTCGACAAGTTGTTGGACGAATCAGCCCCTTTTTGGGTCTCTGGGCCCAGGACCTCTGGGGTCGATCTCGGGTCAACATCCAAGGCGGCGCCACCGCGTCTTCCTCCTCCTCCTCCTCCTCCTCCGCTGCCTCGCACTGCTGTTGCATTCCCCCTCCTTTCCTTATAAGTACCCTCCCTGCCGCACCCCGAGGCCGGTCGGAAGGGCAGGCCGGGCGTTTCGCCTGATAATTCCTGAAAGTGCCGGATCTTGAAGCTTAAGACATTGGCAACAATTTTACAGATGCAGGGCGGGCCGCTTCCAAAATGTGGCTCTCGCCTTCGCACCGCGCACACATGTCTTAAACAATTGTCGAAATCTCACGGATTGAAGACGGGCGGTTTTCAAAACGTGGCTCTCGCCAGAACACCGAGCACAATCGATTCAAACAATTGCAAGAGTTCCGCGAATTGAGGACAAGCCGTTTTCAAAATGTGGCTATCGCCTCAGCGTCGCGCACATCCATTTTAAATAATCGCAAGGGCATTGGCGGCGGTTTCTTTTCAAACTGTGACTCTGGCCTTCGCGCCGCGCGCATTCGTTGAAGCAGACCATTGCAATAGTTTCGCTGATTGTCATGGTTAACGTACCAGAAACGGCGTTCTGGAGTGATTCAGTATTGTAAGGGCGCAGCGGTTACATGAAGCCGCGGTGCCGATGTCACAGGAATGGTGTTCTGGCGCGACTCAGGGCCGTCAGGACGCAGCAATCAGGTTGATCCGTGGTGTTAAAATTCAGAGAACGGTTTTGGCACGCTTCAGGATCTTCAAACGGTTGTCTCCCAACGGGGCACTTCCTTCAGTGGGAATGCATCCGTGTACGGGGGCCTATGACGAAGGAGCTTGGAGGGAGGGATTCTTACAACATCGTTAATGACTTGGGTTTGCACTGGTCCTCCTCCTTGTCCTCCTCCTCCTCCTTCTCCTCCTCCTCCCTGCGGCAGGAGGCAAGGGCTGGAGGAGGGACGCAGGGGGGAAGGAGGAGGGAACGGTGAGGGGAACGAACGAACCAGGAACGGAGCAGTCGAGCCGATAGCTCCCCACTTGTGAAGACAACATGTGGGCGGACAAAGACGTGCCAACACATCCGCCAAATCCGCCGACCCTGTCGGCGCGTGTGAGGGGCTTGTCTGTTCGAGTCGTGGTCTCCGTCGGTCGTCGTCTGCATCGTCCCCTTTCCCTGCACCCTCTTCCTCAAGCTTGTCGGCCAACGAACATAAACTATAGCAATGTCGAAATCGAGTCGAAGGGAAACCCCTTCCCTTTGATCTCGCCATCGCTCGGACGTCCATTCCCTGTTTTTTTCGGTTTCGTGCGTGGCTTGTTCGCCAAATGATCAAGGATGATCCTCGATGGTCCCCGCCGAGGAAAAATGCACACGTCCGAGCGATGCCAAGTGATCCCTCCCCCGTCGGGGGGGGGTCCCGGAAGGTGGGGTACGGGGAGGGGGAGGGGAGCGGGAGGTTAGATACGTATCCCCCCTGTGGGCCCTGAGGCTTCAGAAAGTACCAAGACAGGCCAAGAGCGGCCCCAAGAGGCCCCTGAGACGGTCCACGCGGGTCCCCAATCGCCAAACGATCGGCTCCACACACCTCCACGCCCTCCATACTGCCCTCGCCCCAAGAGCACTCCAGAGAGGGCCCCAAGAGGCCAAGTTGATTGATTTTCTGTTTCTTTTTCATCATTTGGGCGTTCTCGCCTTTTCCACTTCCCGCCGCTCTAAGGCGGAGCAAGAGACACCCAATATCGCCTCAATAGGGCCCAAGAGGCCTCCAACAGGGCCCTCCCACACAGCCCAAGAGGACCCCTAAGACAACCCAAACCGCCTCCAAGACGGCCCAACAGGCCCCCAAGTCGGCTCCAAGAGCGTGCCCAGGCGGGGACCCGAACGGACATTGCGAACCCTCGGCCCCGAGAGGCTCCCAGGAGGGGCCCAAAGAGGTTACCAACAGGGCCCTAAGAGGCCCACAAGAGGTCCAACTGCCCGAAGAGGCCCCCAAGAGGCTCCCACGAGGCCCCAGAATTCCTCCCCAGAGGCCCCCGAGAGCCTTCCGAAAAGACCCCAAGAAGCATCCCTGAGGACTCTGGCCCACGTCAGAGTCGTCGTCGCCGTTGTCGTCGTCGTCTCCCTTCGGGGTCGGCGGCATTGGCCGCAAGGCTTTCGCAATAACACCCGCACAAGCGGCGCAAAGTCGTGGGCAGCCAAGCGCTGGCACGAGTACCCAGAAACCTCTGGCACGGTGGGCGCACGAGAGAAACGAACAACCAGCTGCCAACAACAAAGTCAGCAATCATCATAATGTCTGCCTCGTCCTGGGGTGGCGGCCACGGCAAGCATTCGTCAGAAACCGCTTGTGGTTCCCATGCGTGACTGGGACCCGACTAGGTCTTGTGTGCTTGCTTCTAACCCCCACGGCACTGCCCAGAAGAAACAATGAGAACACACGAGCACTCCTGGCATATTATCACGCACTCGTGTTTCTCGGGGCGGCGCCACAACATCAAGGTCGGGTTTCTGGGCTCCCCCTACGGTGCCAAGCCCTTAAGGGGACGAAGGAGTCGGTGACAGCCCAAACGCCCTATCGGCGACAGCCATGGAATCATGCACCGCTTCAGAAGAATTCCTGTAATCAGAGGCCTGACCAACAAACAACTGCTCCGCGCGCCATCGCTGGATGGCAAATGGGTTGCAACGTCGGCTGGCTCCATTGCGGACTCCCTTCAACGTGGCGTGCGCAGTGGCGATGGCATTGCAGTGGTGGCGGCGCCATTCACCTCGCCCTGCGAAACAAATGAAGGCAAGCGCGGGTGTACCATGATCGGCGGCAACCCGATGTGGCACTGGAGGGTCGAACAGACACTCGACCGAATCACTGACGATCTGGACAAGATATCCCACGCTTGATTGCTCTGGGCCATCGGAGCATCCCAGCATCAGCACCACCTTGAGTAATACGCTGCTCCTGCGCTCCCAGCCAAGCGAAACCACATGACCCACGTGCTGCCCGCAGGTTGCTGCATTGCCTCCGCAGGGAGGTGAGGCGCATCCCCGAGCCCGCGCTGGGCCGTGGCCCGGTCGAAGCTGGGCGGGCACGTGCTGGGATCTCTGCGGGCGCCGAGGAACGGGGGGCCCTCCCAGAGGTCCGCGCGGGCCCTCCCCTCGCTGCGGCGAAAAGTGAGTCCAACGAGCAGCCCTCCTGGACGGTCGCCGAGCAAGTGGCGCGCATGGCTTTTCATCTCGGGGTCCATGACGGCGAAGATGCCGTCCCCAAGGGTAACCTCGCGTCCCTAGACCTCGGGAATGTGGCTGCCTTTCGCATCTGCCGTCTGCCGGGACCTTCTCAAAGCAGCGCGCGGATATCCAGGGGGGACGCGGTTGGCGGGGAGATCTGGCGGTCACCGTCGGTGGGGACAATACGGAGAGCCTGCATTTCCCTGCCCGCGCGCCGTGCAGACAGCAGCACCGCGGGCGCGGGGCCAGCGCATGGAGACCGAGGCGTGCCGTCTCCGAGGCTACTGTGCATCGGCATCCAGGCTTCCTGCAAGTGGGCCAGAGAGACAAGGTCGCCCCAGATCGCGGCAGCGCATCATATTGCTACGTCTACTGTCGCGTCGTAAATGGGATTCCGACGGGCGTACCTAGTGGCCAATAGTTCCATTGCCAATTTCGTAAGCCCGTCGCGGACTCCGAGAGGAGTGCGAAATTGTATAGGCGGAGACACGTCCGGCGGGAATGGAACCCGACACCTGGCACCACTGCCAGGAATGGAATGTGGCACCCAGCACCCAGCACCGCCGCTGGGGGGTGGGCGCTGGAAGGCAAGCCTCCCCAAAATGTGCGTTATCTTGGCCCATGCGGTAGCCGGCCTGCATGTCGTCGCCTGGCTGGTCGAAAGACGGCAACGCTTGGTCGTGGCTCGTGAGCATCGGCGTCAGATAATGTTCGACATATCACGCTGGCAGTCTGTGCAGTGTGTGTGATGCCCCAACGGTTGCACGGGCTTCCGGCAGTAGCCGGGGGGCCTGAACGTTGGCGACACCATGGTGAACGCATGCCGTGGGCCCTCCGTCGGGCACAATGCGGCGCTGGGCGAGGAGAACTGCTGCTGAGGCCCAGCGCTTAGCAACATCGCTGGCTTCAACCTCCTCTGCGGCCAACTCCTCGCCCGTGAAGTCACGGCAAAAGGGTCCATCGGTGTCCGTCGGTGCAGCCATGTTCTAGGCTGCCGGCTGCTGAACCTGAGGTGGCATTGCCTCCGCTGGCGGGGGCGCGCCAAGCTCGCGGCCTCTCGGGGTAGCGCAGCAGGCTTCAGGGGGCCTGGCCCTGACCGCCAAAACGCGTAGGGCCTCGAACCACTGCGCTAAATTGGTAGTGTGGTGAGCGTCTCGTCAGCGCCAGTAGAATTGAGCACCTGGCCCTTCTTCTCGACGGGCAGGTCCTGAGCTGGCAACCATGGCTCTGCGAAGAAACTCACCAGGGATTGGCTTCGGGGCTTTGGCGGCCACTTGCCACCGTGCGGCCTCCAGGTCGGCGATCTTGGCAGCGACGGTCTGGGCCTCCTTCTGGACATCGGACAACTTCTCCTCGATGTCTGCCTTCTCCATGCCCTGCTTGTCCTTCTGCTTAGAGGGGCGTCGGTGCGAATGGTGTAATGGTGTACCTGCGCAGTGTAAGACTCGTTGTTGACGATCTTCTCCTCGATGGCGTCGCGCGCGTTTGGCAGCGAACTGCCCCTTCGCGATGAGGACAGACGGGCCGTTGCAGGTGCTGGAAACGCGCAAGGTATTGGCGATCTTGGCAAGCGCTTCTGATCCTTGTCGTATGTTTCTGGCTTGGGCTCCGAGAGCTACGTGGCCAAAACGCCCGTAGCCTAACAAATTCCAGGTCCTTCCCGCGAGCGAGCTTGTCTTGGAGCACCGCCGCCTCGCGACGAGCCGAAGTAGTCGCACTGGAGCGGACGCTGGGCTCCCCGAGCGGCCTGTTTCCATCGAGGGCAGAGCCCTTGGTGGTGTTGCAGCTCGTGCATCGTGTCTGGTCTCCTCGGCACCACCACTTCTCACCGCCATGGCGGTGCAGGCACCAGCGACAATACCATGGTCCTGCCCACGCGTGACGATGGGCGGAGCCTCCTGCTACACCTGGTTGAAAGAAAATGGCCATGACACGGTGTAGACAGCGTGCGAAAGGATACGGGCTGAAACAACACTTCGTTGACCCCATTCCTCCCGAGTTTTAGCTTCTGAGCCTCTCGCTACGGACCTTGAAAGGAGGCCTCCTCCTCCTCCTACCCCTCCTCCTCCCCGTCATCTTTATCCTCGCGAGCCTCCTTTCACCGACCCTGCGTGTGGTTCTCCTGCTATCATCTCGCTTCACGTCTGTTGTTGCCGCTGCCGCTGCAACTGACGAGTGAACGAACTTCCGTCCGTGGTACTGTGATTCCCGTTGTCGTTGCCGCAATTGCTGCCGTCGCCTCTGCTGCCACTACTGCTGGGAAATGTATATCTGCTGCTGGACAAGGAGCATCAACAAGTAGGTCGTACAGGCGAAGGTTGCAAACAGGACAATAACAATTCGCAGACAGCCAACAGACCGATGAGAAGTGGGCATAGGAAATAAACGTGTGCAGAGCGCACTTCGAGGAGATGCTGGTGTAAACGTGAGGCGCGAATGCAGGCATGGCGGCGGATAGAGCACGCAAGAGATGTAGCCCCAAGTCCTTGCTCTTGATGGCGTTGCTCAGCGCTGTGCGAGCATCGGCCTCGCAAACCATTGTCTCAAATTAGCCAGCCCAACGGGCCAAAGGCGTGATATAATCCCCGGTAAGAGGTCCCGAGTATTTGTAGATGGCTACTTCGCGCGCGCGTAGCGGCCCCTGGGGGGGGGCCCTGGAGGAAACTTACCCCGGCAAGCTGCCCCACGAAGTGCCCGAACTCCTGGGCGCGGGCGTCCAGACCCCAGCAGCGCCCCACGGGCGCTCCAAGGGCCCCGAGACGGCGCAGGACCACTCCGAGGCGGCCCAACATGGCCTCAGAGCAGCCCAAGAAGCCCGCGGGACGGCTCTCAAGACGCAAATACTGTGGACTTCCTACTGGTGTCCGAAGCAGATTTGAGCGTTCTCGCTTTTTCCATCGGGCTTACGACAGCTCAAGACAGCCCACGATGCCTCTGAGATCGCTCCAAGACAGCCCCCAAGAGAGCGCCAAGACGGCCCAAGAGGGTCCCAAGACGGCCCAAGACGCTTCCAAGAGGGCCTCCGAGACCGCCAGCATGCCCGCCAAGAGCCCCCGGGGAAGCGCCCAAGAGGCCCCGAGAGGCCGCCGAAGTGCCCCCAAGGAGTCTCCAAGATGCCCCCAGAAGGAATTCTGGGGATCAGCTTTGCGAGGAGCATCGGTCGCAAAGGAGCTCCGTGCGGGCGCACGTCGCGCGCATCTGGAAAAGGGCACCGGCTAAACGGCAGGTGATGAGACAATATGGGCCGATGGAACGCGCGAAGCGATTGAAGACCCTGGCGCTACCATCCCTTCTGAAATTTGACATCGGCACAAGCCGGCTGAGGAGACATAGGAACGCAAGCTGGGCGAAGTCAGCGGGCAGCGCACGACGAGCCCATGCGTGATTAACCAACAGCAGCACAACTCCTCAAATCAACAACTGATGGCAAGCATTGTGCACAATTTGCAGAACAACTGGCTCAGACTCATTGTCTCTGCTGTTTCAGCCGTACCGCGCGCGCGCCACTCCTCACCTCACGCACCTTCTATTTCTTCGCCTCCTCCCTCCTCCCCGCTTCTTGCTCCCCTTCTTCGCTGATCAATGATCATCGCTGTCGGTCCCCACCCTGCGAACACGCTTTTTGTTCTGCCATTCCGCAAGTGCGTTCCCGTCCCCATAAAAGGCCCCAGGACGGCTCGACGAGGGGGCTCGAATGCTGGGGCGAGGCCGCATTGAGTGGGCCACCCTTCACGAAGATCACCGGTCCCCTTGGAGACACCCAACACGACCACAATGAGAACGCCCTCGTGTTGAGACCAGACCGTGTTGGATGCGCCCTCAAGGAACTCTTTCATTGCTTCGCTCCATGAAGGAGGCCCCGAAGGGCCCAAATCAGGGCGCCCGCATTCTTACGCCAAGCCGTGTTGGGCCACCTCTGGATGACACCTTCCCCCTCAAGACGACTCGACAAGGCCTTGGTGTTTTCGCCCGCGCACTTGGACCAGACTGCCTTGGTCCACCATGCGTGAAGATCTTCACCTCCGCAGAGGTCCGTCTGAAGGCGCCCGCAAATGAGGACCGGACTGGACAGTCTTGGACCGATTTCATGAACTGCTTCCTTCCATACAAATCCGAACACGGACTTGACGAGTGCGAAAGCAAGTTGGCGTCAAACCATCTTGGGCCACCTTTATCGAAGTTCCCCAGCCCCGACCGGGGATCCATCAGGGCTGCTGCAAAGGCGCCATCATAATATCAACCGATCAGATTCCGTCACCCGTCACCCGTATTGCCGCCCCCTCGCTAGCAAGGCCCCGATGATGGCGCCCGCATACTGGGTTCAGACCGCCTTGGGCTATCCTTTGCGAGGGTTCTCATCCCTGGCTAGAAAGTCAATTTGGCCGCAACGAAGGCACTCCCACGCTGGGATTGGATTGTCACGGTCCACCTCTCACGAGTATTGTATCCAAAGAGGACAACCGCATGGTTGGACCTGGAGTTCGTGGGCACCCCCTGAAGAATATCCTCATCCACCTACCAAGCATACGCTCATTCACCTAAGTACCACATGTACTCCTGCGATGCCCCAATCGTGAACACGTTGGAAGGAACTGGTACGTAGGCCGGCTTCGGTGCGCTAGCTTTGCGGCTTTGACTGAGGGCTGGCTTCTACGTCGCTCGAATTGTTACAACACCGTCGTGTGGTGTTGGGTCCTCGTTCTGAAAAGAAAAGCAACAACAAAAACTGCCCCCACGTCCTCACCTCTCCTCCTCTCCTCTCCTCCTCTCCTCCTCTCGCTCCACCCTCCTCCCACCCTTGCCTTTGCCCTCCGCGTGTCAACCAGTTTGGCACGCCCCTCACACGTTTCGTGGCCCCACAGGGAGCTCCACCGAAGGCCCTAGTGGCTGCGCCCGCATGCCGCCCCGCCGTCACTTTGGCACACCCCTCACACGTTTCGTGGCCCCCATAGGGCGCTCCACCGCACACTCCTCATACGTTTCGTGGCCCTACAAGGAGTTCCACGGAAGGCCCCAGTGGCTGCGCCCGCATGCCGCCACACCCCTCATTTTGGCTCACCCCTCACACGTTTCGTGGCCCCCACAGGGCGCTCCACCGAAGGCCCCAGTGGCTGCGCCCGCATGCCGCCCCCCCCCGCCCGCCACCCCCCCACCCCACATTGGCGCACCCCTCACACGCTTCGTGTCTCCATAAGGAGCTCCACCCAAAGCGACAGTAGCGGCGCCCGCATGCCGCCACCCCCCTCACTTTGGCCCACCTCTCACACATTTCGTGGCCCCCCATAGGGCGCTCCACCACAGGTCCCAACGGCTGCGCCCGCATGCCGCCCCCCCCTCTCCCCTTTGACTTTGGCACACCCCTCACACACCTCGTGGCCCCATAGGGAGCTTCACGTAAGGCCCCAGTAGCGGCGCCCGCATGCCGACACCCCCGTCACTTTGGCACAGCCCTAACACGTTTCGTGGCCCCATCGGGAGCTCAACAGAGGCCCCAATAGCGGCAACCGCATGCCGCCACCCCCGTCACTGTTGCACACACCTCACACGTTTCGTGGCCCCGTAAGGAGTTCCACCGATTGCTGTATTGGTTGCGCCCGCATGCCGCCACGACCTTCACTTTGGCACACCCCTCACACGCTTCGTGGCTCCATGGGGAGCTCCACCGAAAGCCTCAATCGCTGCGCCACCATGCCGCCCCCCCTCACTTTGGCACACCCATCAAGACTCTCCGTCGCCCCATAGATGGCGCCACCTTAGGCCCCAAGGGCTGCGCTCACATGCCGCCCCCCCCCTTCACTTCGGCACACCCCCAGCACATTCCGTGGCCCCATAGGTAGCTCCACGGAAGGCCCCAGTGGCTGCGCCCGCATCCCGCCACTCTCCTCACTTTGGCGCACCCCTCACACGTTCGTGGCCGTATGGGGCATTCCACCTAAAGCCTCAGTGGCTGCGCCCGCATGCCGCCACCCGCCTCACTTTGGCACACAACTAACACGTTTCATGGCCCCCATAGGGCGCTCCACCGAAGACCTCAATGGCTGCGCCCGCATGCCGCCACAGCCCCCCTCCCCGCCCCCCTCACTGTGGCACACCCCTTCAGACGCTTCGCGGCCCCATAAGGAATAGGGAGCTCCACCGAAGGCCCCAGTGGCTGCGTTTGCATGCCGCCCCACCCTTCACTTCGGCTCACCCCTCAAACGTTTCGTAGCCTCAGGGAGCCCCACCGAAGGCCCCAATGGCTGCGCCTGCATGTCTTGCCCCGCTTCTCCCGCGATGCCTGTCAGCCGCAACGGGTTACATCAGCGTGTGGATCGTTTCGTCTGGCCTCCACCCCCCTTTTGCGGGTGGCCCCAGCGGCAGCGCCCGCATGGCGGCCCCGCCCCATTTCGGTGCTCCATTCACGCGATTCGTGGCCCTGTAGGGGGCCCCACCGAAGCCGGTTCTCACAACGGCGGTTTTCACAGCTGCATATGGTTGGGTCCTTCGCCAATAATATATAAACATGCGTATATCAATCAATCAATCAAGCTCTGAGGGGCAGTGTTCCACAAGTCAGCGCTGAAAAAAAAGGTGTGTTGGCCACTCTGGCCAGCACTCCTTATCTTGGTTAAAGTTTGCTGGCTTTCTAACCTTACCCTGAGGGCCTACGTTTAGGAGTCAGCCGCATATGCTGGGGGGGGGGGGGGGGGGGGGCACAGGCAGTCTGCAGCGCCCTGTGGTGGGGGACTTAGGGGCTGCCCTGCACCACGAGGGCAATAAGGAGCCTCTGAACGTTGAAAAGAACTCGGGGAACGGCGATTTCAGCAGTCCTTGGCATCCGAGGGCGAGGCCAATCCCCTTCTCCGCAGCCCCCCCGCCTCCTGTCGGGTGGAGCCCGAAGGCAAGACCCGAAGGTCGGCCACCTGGCAGGTGCGAGGAGGCGTGGATAGGGGATTGTCCCCACAAGGGGAGGGAGGAGGAGGGCTCCATCCAAACACTCTAAAAGCTGAATCTGTTCCAGCGGTGCGGGGCAGCGGGCACGCGCAGCGCACTCAGTAGGCGTTCGAGATGACTGGGAACAAGTTAGTGTCATCTGCCTCCTTCAGCGTGTCACTAACGAGCTCACTATCCCCTTTATTGAATTGGTCCTCTCAACTCAAGTGTCGAGAGCAATATGTTTTTGTTTCGTACGACGTCGTACTGGAGCGATTGTCATAGCTCCCATGGCTTGGCTCAGCGCTGTCTGTAACGGTACAGCGCCTCTTTGCACCAATTCCAGTAGCCTGGTCGAGTGTCTGGCGATGATATTCTGCTGGCTGGCCGTCATGCGTGCTACGCTTTGCCGCCCTTGCCCTTCTTCGTGCCGCCCTCGTACTCGTCCAGTAGCTGCTGCGCCGCTCGCTCCAGTGGGGCGCGGGGCGCTGGCCCCCGCTTCACTACTCCGTTCCTGCGGCGCAGCTCCACCGCCAGCGCGTCCTGCACCGCCGCGTGCTTGCTGTGGAGGGCGAGGCTCAGCTTCACCATGCCTGGCTTGTTCCCCTTCGGCTT